TATTCCTTTACCTCCACCCCATTTGTCACAGTCTTAACAAAAGTAGATTAATTTTCCAGCATTGCATTTGCCTTCTAAAACCTCTTCAGATTGATTCTAAATTCATGAATCCTATTCTGAGAGACACATCATTTGGCCAAGTTTTTATTTCCAGGGCTGGCTGCATAATGAAGTCTTTGTGGATGCAAATCCCTGGGGACAGCAGGTTATGGCCTCCCGTGGAATGATCCCCTCCCCAAATCAATGGCAAGGGGATTCCCAAGAAACCAAAGCCCAGGCTATTTCTTCTGCTAGTCTTGAAGCTCTGAATCTTGAAACTATTAGAGGATAAACTCATTTAAATAACAACTCAAAATACGGGTCCTATACCATCTAATGTTCCCTCTCAAACCAACCTTGTACAACAAAAAGGCCGCCTCTATTTTCCCCTAAAAAGAAGAAATAAGTTTAAACATTCAAGGGTGAGATTCTTAGACAAGCTAGGAGTGGAAAATGGAGGAAGGGAGCCTGAATTTTTCTCCTCTGGGGATATGAGTTGGCACATGAAAACATAAGATGTCACTGTCTGCGAGCCATAGGTAATGGTGTCCCCACAGCCTGGGAACTAGAACTGAGCGTGCTCTTCTGGACTGCCTTCCTCTGGGAAACTCTATCCTGTGGCATCTGCATTCTTTGCAAACAAGTCTTTTCTCCCAGGTAACCTTGAGAAGTCCCAAGGCTCTGTTCTATTTCACACATGCCCAACCTCAGCTGAATGCTGGATGGAGCTTCATATAGTTGGGTACCATTTCTGCCCACAGGCATTTGGCAAGCAGAAAAAACGTGCAGTGCATTTGGTGAGTGTGGAGTTTTATATGTGGTTCTCTAGAAAGGTTATCCAATGTGCCATTTGCAGATATCCACCCATCCCAAGGTTGGTTTGCTTAAGGTTGAAGCAGAGATAGGGAAACAGCCAGATGTTGCTTCTTGGTTCCCAGGGAAAGGAAAGCAAGTAGAAGAACCAATCACAGCTCCCTCACTAATAGACATCTGGATACACCTCAAGGATTCTGGGATATGTGGCTATAGGGGAGATGGGAGCAACAAGACAAAGATGAAGGTCAGGTTCAGGTCAAGTGGAATCGTGCCCACAAATTATTAGGAAGATAAACTACTTGAGAATAAGGAGGCGGAGTGGGAAATAGCTTAAGGTTGACATTTATCACAGCCTAGGTGGTTTCAAAGTCACTAAGCAAAGTCACTCTTTCCCTAGCACCTAGCAATTGCATTCATAAACAAGGCTTGATGCAAATGATCTTGGGAAGCCCTGGGCTTCGGGCCTTTCTATCATATACCTGAGCTGAGTCAACTTCAGGCACCTACTGAAGGGTGAAGTGTCTACCCTAGCATTGTCATTTTTCTTTTTTTTTTTTGAGTTGGAGTCTCACTCTGTCACCCAGACTAGTGTGCAGTGGCCGCTCCCGGCCACCGCAGCCTCGACCTGCTGGGCTCCGGCGATCCTTCCACCTCAGCCTTCCAAGGAGCTGGAACTACAGGCGCGCGCTACCACGCCCGGCTAGTTTTTTGTTGCTTTTTTTTATTGTAGAGATGAGGTCTTGCCAAGTTGCCCGGGTGGGTCACGAATCATTTTTCATTAATACACAAATTTAGCTCATACTCTCCCAAATTCTTCTCTTTTTTCTCCTTAAATGTCCACTTGTTATTTCAGCAACCATTTACTAATACTTATGGGCTAAGCATAGTGTCAGGTGCTGTCAGTTGTAAAACAAATAAAACATGGCCCCTGGCCTCAAGGAACTGCCAGAGGGGAAGACCCATAAGTGGGCAGGCAATGGCCACCCCATGAAATCAGTGCTGTGATGGAGGTCAGAAAGACAGTGTCCTGCAAAGGCCGAGGCAGCCACCTTGGCAGATGTGGTGAACATAGGAGGGAAGAGAAGATATGCTTCCAGAATACCAGAAGAGAGAGGAAAATGTGATTTGCTACCTAAGAGAATTGTGTGCAGGTGAGGTTTGGGCTTCTAGTGAGCCCTCTCTCCCCTGGTACCCAATGAATGGTTGTGAGCTTCCTATCCCCCCGCCCTTGCCCCACTAGTAGTACCCAGATTCAGTTGTCCCCGCCTTTGTGCTCACATGCCCAATGTTTTAGGGCCTGCTTGTGAGTGAAAACATGAGGTATTGCATTTTTTGGTTCTTTGACAGTTCACTTAGAATGATGGTCTCCAGCTGCATCCATGTTGCTGCGAAGGACATGATTCTGTTCTTCTTTATGGCTACATAGTGTTTCATCATGTATATTTACCACACTTTCCTTATCCAGTCCACTTTCAATGGGCATCCGGGTAGGTTCCGTGTTTTGGCTATTGTGAATAGTACAGAGCAAGCATATTGTTGGTAGAGCAATTTATGTTCCTCTGTGTATATTCCCAGAAGTGGGATCACTGAATTGTATGGTAACTCAATTTTTAGTTTTTGAGAAAACATCACACTGCTTCCCATAAAGTTTGAAATACCTTGCATTCCCAACAGCATAGAAGCGTTCCCTTTTCTCTGCACGCTCGCCATCTGTTGTTTTTGACTTTTTAATGATAGCCATCCTGACCAGTGTGAGGTGGTGCCTCATTGTAGTTTTGATTTACAGTTCTCTGATGATTCATGAGGCTAAGCACTTTTTTTAATATGTGTATTGGTTGCTTGAATGTTTTCCTTTGCGAAGTATCTATTCATGTCCTTTGCCAAAGCCCATAGTTATGTATCGAGGCCGATTCCATGCTAGGGATTGGAAAGGAGTGAGGCAGCCAGGAATTTGCAAATCTGTATCCTCATAAAGCACAACCACTCACTTTCACTCTTCTACTTTTCTTGAAGCACATAGCTTATTCCATCTATATTTCATTTTCCAAAATTTGAGTGTTAGTGTGTTTGTTTCCTAGAGCTGTCATAGCAAAGAACCACAGACTGGGTGGCTTAAACCACAGAAATGCTTTGTCTCACAGTTCTGGATGTTAGACATCCAAAATCAACATGTCAGTAGGGCCATGCCTCTTCTGAAATCCATAAGAGAGAACCCTTCCTTGTCTTTTCTGGTGGTTCCTGGCAATTTCTAGCATCCCTTGGCTTGTAGATGCATCACTTCAGTCTCTGCCTGTGTTATTACACGGCCATCTTCTCCCTGTGTGTGTCTTGTTCCTCCTAGTATAAGGACACTAGATAGACTGAATTGAGGACTTGCTCTACTCCAAAATGATCTTACCTTAACTTCACTTAGTCATGTGCCACATAATGATGTTGCAGTCAATGACACTCCACATATATGACAAGTGGTCCTGTAAGATTATAATGGAGCTGAAAAATTCCTGCCACCTAGTGATGTCTTAACCATCACAGGGTCAAAGCCGAATGCATTATTCACATGTTTGTGGTGATGCTGGTGTCAACAAACCTACTGCATTGCCACTCACATAAAAGTGTAACATGTACAATTAGGTACAGTACATAACATTGAACCTGATAATGATAAATGACTGTGTTATTAGTTTATGTATTTATTCTATAATACTTTATCATTATTTTAGAGTTTATTTCTTCTTACTTTTTTTCAAACTTAACTGTAAACCAGCCTGAGGCAGATCCTTCAGGAAGTATTCCAGAAGAAAGCGTAGTTGTCTTAGGAGATGGCAGTTCCATGTGTTTTGTTGTCCCTGAAGTGGAACAAGACATGGAGGTAGAAGACAGTGGTATTGATGATCCCTGTGTGGACCTAGACTCATGTATGTGTTTGGGTCCTTAGTTTTTGAGAAAAACATTTAAAAATAAAAATTTTAAAATTAAAAAAAGCTCGTAGAACAAGGCTATAGAGAAAGAAGCCATTTTTATATAGATGCACTATGTGTTTGTTGTAAGCTAAGTGCGGCTACAAAAGAGTCAAAAAGATTTTAAAATTTTAGAAAGTAAAAAAGTTACAGTCAACTAATCTTAAGTTACTACTGAAGAGAGGTACTTTAATACATTAGCATAGCCTGAGTGCCCAGTTTCTAAAGAGTCTACAGTAGTGGCTAGTAACATCCTAGGCCTTCACATTCACTTACCACTCACTCACTCACTGACTCAGAGCAACTTCCAGTCCTGCAAAGCTCCTTCCATGGTAAGTGCCCTATACCGGTGTTCTATTTCTTACCTTTTACACCATATTTTGATTGGTATATGACTGTCATTACATTCACAGTATTCTATTTCCAAAGAAGATCACACACAGAGGTTCTGGAGATCAGGGCCTTGACATACCCTTGGGGGAGGCGCAGTTCAATCCATAATAGTCAGGTATGAAGAATAGTTCTATATTACATAAAACCAATAATGTTAAATATGAAAATGAAAGTTAACTAATGCACTGAGGAGCAGTGAGAGCCAGAGAGGACACACCTGTCTAAATAAAGGCCACAGCCAGCATGCAGCAGGAAAAAGGGCAAAATATCCCATGTCAGATTCTTCTAGGGCATCTGGAGGTCTGGATTTCTATGTGGAACCTTCAAGTTTTAAAAGGTTGGCATCCAGAGCGAAACAAAAGAACACATTTGTGGACTGGATTCAGCCAATGGATCACTAGTTTGGAAATTCAGTCCTGTAGGGATCAGAGAGGGCTTCCTGAACAAGATGATTTCTTGGAACTGGAAGCAGTTCTCTCTGGCTGCAAAAGAATTTAAGGTGCAGAAAGGAAGGGAGATGAAAAGGGAGATTAAAAAAGCAGCCAGATCCTGGAAGGCCTCACAGGCTCTGTAGAAGAATGTAGATGCTGCCAAAAGAAAAACAGGGAGTCACTGATGGGTTCAAGCAGGGGTGTGGCATGGTCAGCTGCCTCTTCTGAACCCCAGTGGAGTCCCTTCCCAGATCCCCAAATCTCAGAAGTGGAGGTGACCCCAACTTGGAGGCTGGGCCCTGCCCTGCACAATCCTGACTCAAGGGTGTCTTCTGGTCAAGGTGACATCTCCTATTTCCATCAGATCTGCAGAAACTCCTGGAGATGGCTTGGGAAGACGCCCGGAGGACAATCACAGAAAGTGGCATGCAAAGAAAAGCCCCCAGGTACATTCTTTTGACTCCTGGGACAAATAAAGCCTATCAGAATAACAACAATGACATGAACAACAGCAGTTGCCAACTAGTGAGCATTTTCTCTGTGACAAGCACTGAGCTATGTACTTACTTTATGGGTATCACCTCTCTTGCAATAACCCTATGAGGTAGTCACTACGATCTTATTTCACAAACAAGGAAACAAGGCTCAGAAAGGCTATGTTACTAGTTCAAGGTCACCCAGTTAGTGAATGGTAAAACTGTGACTCAAACCCAGGCCTTTCGAATTCAAAAAAACCGTTCTCTTCAGCACTCTGCCATGCTGCCCCCAGTAATCCTGTGGTTATTCATTCATTCTTTGAGTGAATATGTATGGGCTGTGTACTAATTATTATTGTGAGAAGTATCTATGAAAGAAAAGCTCAGAACCCTGAGAACATATAAGAAGGGCATTTGGCCTAGTCTGGGACGGGGATTGGGATCCTTGGAGACGTTTCCTCCAAGGAAGAAGCTTTAAACTGGGATTTGGTTAAAGCATGAAAATGAGTCTACCTGACAAAATTTAGTGGGGGAGGGAGGGAGGCACAGGAGAGAGTATTCCAGATAGCACATGTGCAAACGTGGTCAAAAGGGACCATGGTACCTTCAAGGAAGTGAAATGCAGCCCAAGTGGGATGTAGCCCAAGGATTCTGGTTTTTATCCTAAGAGCAGCAGGAATTCTTTGAAGTTTCAAGCCAGCAGCCGATGTGATTGGTTCACAAGGAGGTAGTGTCAGACTTGAATCTGAGATGTCCTCTTTTTGGTAGAAAGCCTCACCCACCAGACTTCTGACCTGCAAAAGCCCCAGAGAGCATGCAGTCTACAGCGGAGTTCCCTTCCCAAGTGTGATCCCTTTGAGTAAGCAAATTACTTCCTGAAAATAAATGAGGCACTGGAAGAGGTTCATCATCGCCTTCAGCCTACTGGGATGCCGACTGTGACTTATTGGTTATTGTTATTACCATAATTACAGCTCCCTGCACACGTTCACATGTATCACACCTCGTCTCTGCTCATTAGTGATGAATTTGCTTGCTGCTGCCTCAACCCCATTGGGGCTCCTCCAAAAGGAGGCACTTAGAGGCACTCAGAGACAATATTGGCCCACAAGTCCCCCACTGCTGTGCCTGATTTCTAAACATTAGATTCAGGCAATAATGATAAAACATCAGCTCAGTGAAGCTTCTTCCTTTGTAAGAACTCACATTGTGAGCACTGTCTTTGGAGTCAGCCTGACATGGATCCAAAACCTGGTACCCTTGGACAAGTCACCTAGCCCTTCTCTAAACCTCAGTATTCTCATCTATAAAATGAGATTGTATAGCATCAAAGCATTGGATGTGAAACCACATAAACTAGGGTCAATCTGCATGATTTATTGCTGTGTGATGTTGGGCAAGTTGTTTCACATCTCTGAATCTGAATCGGAATCTATAAAATAAGGCTCATTAGCAACCTATCTCAAAGGGTTGTAGTGAGAATTAAATACTATCATTGTAAAGTAGTATTAATGTTATGAAAATAACATCAACTTCAATGAGTCAGCTTAAGCAGTTAGTTAGGTAATGCTTTTCTTTCACCTATTAGCACAGACCTGGCACAGAGTAAGTATTCAAGAAATGGAAATAGGGATGGGGTGAAGATAGCCATCATTTTTATTTCACACATGGTGCCCCATGTAGTCTTCACACACCTTGCTCTAGACAGTAAAGAGCAACTAGGAGTGACCTCTATAAGGTCTCCGAAGATAAAACCGCACTAGAACCTATTTCTTGCTGGGCAGGGTTGCGCACACCTGTAATCCCAACACTTTGGGAGGTTGAGGCGAGAGGATTGCTTGAGCCCAGGAGTCTGAGACCAGCCTGAGCAACATAGCAAGACCTTATCTCTACAAAAAATTTTAAAAATTAGCCAAGCATGGTCATGCATACCTGAAGCCCCAGCTACTTGGGAGGCTGAGGAGGAAGGATCACCTGAGCCCAGAAGGTCAAGGCTGTGGTGAGCCATGATCCTGTGTACCCTAGCCTGGGAAACAGAATGAGACTCTGACTCAAAAAAAAAAAAAAAAAGAAGAGGAACCTGGTTCTCACGAGGCCCATCACATGGCCTCTACATGCAATTTAATGATAAAATAACCATGGTTACAGAGCAAGAACCTGTTGAAATTTCCCTTCCCATTAATTCCTTTGGGAGAAGAATCTCCCTAATCTCTAGCTAAGCCAGCAGATATTGAAGCTTCGACATGAAACTGCAGAGAAGTAGTTGGGAAAAACAGATTCTCTTTTGCTCCCTCACTTTGGTAACTAAATTTCTTTCTCACATTAGATACCAAATCTTCCACCAAGGCTAGCATAGAAAATTCTGGGGTTTTTAGGAGCCTCTACAAGTTTCTAACCCATCTAGCCCCCAACCTCAAGGTCAGTCTGTCCCTAGTCATCTAAGAAGACAGCCTTCCTTAAAATCTCCCAGCAGTGTCCTCAAAGATCAGAAACAGTGTGGGGCATTTATGAAAAATACAGATTTCTAGACCTCATCCCAGACCCACTGAATCTCCAGAGGTGGCTGCATTTTTTAACAAGCATTTCGAGTGGGCATTATTTCACAGTATTTTACAGGGTGCTGGGGAAATCTAGGAGGTGTGTGAGAGTGGGGGGAAGATTAAATGCAGCTTCTGGGGCCCCACTCCAGGCCTGATGTATCAAAGCTTTGAAAATGTGGCCCGGAAATCTGATTCTGTTGTTTTTGCTCTTGTTGTTTGGGGTTTGTTCATTTGTTTGTTTGTTTGTGACAGGGTCTTGTTTTGTCACCCTCGGGGAAGTTGAGTGACACCATCATGACTCACTGCAGCCTTGAACTCCTGGGCTCAAGTGATCCTCCCACCCCAGCCTCCTGGGTAGGTGGGACTACAGGTGTATGCCACCACATCCTGCTAATTAATCGATTGATAATTGTAGAGATGGAGTCTCTATGTTGCCCAGGTTGTTCTCAAACTGCCGGCTCAAGTGATTCTCCCACCTCAGCTTCCCAAGGTGCTGAGCCACCATGCCCAGCCAGAATCTGTATTCTAAGCAAGCCCTCTAGGTGAATCCTATGCCCAGCAGGACCTGAAGCTCTCTGCTCTAGAAGGAGAATTCCCCATCCTCCACAGATATTTACTGCCACAAGAGCATCATGTATTCAGTGCCTTGTTAAAAGATTCATCTTGCTTTGCAGCATCTTGCCAGTGCTCAAACAAAACAAGAGCGATTCTGCCTTTAAGGACATGCAGACCACCCACAAGTCAAGGTAGGAAGGTCTGAAGCCTGCAGCAGGTGGTTGGAAGCCAGCCCATAGTCACAGGGACCACTGCAGAGATGCCCCTCACCAGACCCTGGAGAGTGGAGCAGGGAGGGGGACTTTTTCCTTCTTATGACTTCACTAGAAACAAGCCCCTTCACTCCAGTGCCAGGGGTAAGTATCCAAGGGTTCCTCCCCAGCAATTACATACCATAAAGTTACAATCTTATGACAGTGAAGAGGTGAGGTAGGGGTTGTATGTACTCCCTCTTTACTTGGGTAATTTACAACGGGGGAGGTGGAGGTCTTCCTGCAATTCATTTGGAGAATATTCTTAGATTCCCCATCTGTGTCAGGAACTGTGCTAAGTTCTGGGAATTCAGCAGCAAATAAAACAAACCCAACCTGCTCTCATGGATCTCAATGTCTGAGCCAGGATTATGACCCTTTTTTGTGCCATAGACCCTTCAGTACTATGAGAAAGCCTATAGACTCCTTTCAGGAAAATGTGTCTAAATGCAAACTATAAATTACAAAATTTATTAAGAAATGTGTAGTAATATAGATTATTATGTTACAGTCAAACTGGGGATATAGCAATCTATGAGCCTTAGCAATGCATTATAAAACAAGACTTATCTGCAGGTCTAATAACTATTGCAATGTTGAATTCGTGCAGAGTCTAAATGATTTTTCAAAGTTGTAACGTGATATGCAAATACCTGTGATTTCCATTTTGTCTAAAGGTTAGTTAAAATAGAGATGTAATTTTTTTCCCCATCTGTATTTGTGAACCCTTTGAATTCTCGTGCTTAAGAATCACCGGTCTGATGACAGAGTTGAGCATTTCTCAAATAATTATTTCTCAAATAATTCTGTAATTAGCCACCAAATCACAACTGTGAACTGTGCTGAAGGAGAAGATGGGATGATTGGGTGAACTTAGCGCCAGGGTCTTACCAAGCTGAGACCTAGAAAACAAGAATTGACTAGCCTATACGGTGAGAAAGGTGTTCCAAGCAGCAGGGACAGCATGTGCAAAGGGTCTGAGGCAGGAGGAAGCTTAGAGGTACTGAGCAAAGACCAGTGGGGCTGAAACTCAAGAAGGGCCAAGAGAGGGGCAGAGTGAGACAGGCAGAAGGGCCTTTTGTTGTTTATTTCTGTCCATCTGTTTATCAACAGCTAGTAACACCACTTCTCTCACCTTCCAGCTCCTCTCTGAGTCACTGTCAAAGCTCTCAGAAAGAAGAGAGCCATTTAAGGAGGAAGGTCAGGCCCACCATGCTCCACCAATGGATTAATCTGCAGGAGCTGGGGCAGTTGGTTGGAACCCCCAAACAAGGCCCTGTGGATATTACTAATGGGGCCCTGCATTCCATCCGGGTGGGATAAGGGTTTGTTCCACCACCTACCAGACCTGAGTCCTTTAGGTCTAATCCTGGGAACTTCTAAGGAAGCAGCAAAAGCCAGAACCTGTTCCGTGGGGAGGGGTCTAGGAAATGGCCAGACCTGCATACCTAAAGAAGTCCCAAATGCTGCCAGGCCGGAAGGGAAGGGTTCACCACACTTAATGGGGATAAGAAAAACAGTCTTAGCCCCCTAGAGTCGCACAGAGAAAGTGGCCAAGTTGGTTTTCCAAGCATTTGGAAGAAACAAGGGGAGACAGTATGGGAGAGAAGGTGCTAGACAACAGTGATGAGGGCCACCATCTCTAAACAAGGCTCTGGGAGAGAAGCATAGGGGAGAGGTGGGAAGAGGCAGGGGCCTTTGACTCCCTCAGGAATCCTGCCCAGGTAGAGTCTCAGGAGGGAGCAGTTACACCTAGAGTCAACTGTTCACACCTAGAAAAGGTCAGATGGCGCCATGAGTTGACAGGTCACAATGATGAAACAGACCATCCAGGTGAGAGCTCGCCCACAGATTGGGAGGCATTGCCTCTGGGTTGGTCTCTGAACCTAGCTCTGTCAGCCTCCACAGTAGACTTACTTGGGAGTTCAACTCAAGGGCCAGCTTGGAGAGGAGAATCCTTGAATGAAGAGGCAATCTGGGGTCAGGGACACCAGAGACAAGTGGCCAAGAGTACTTAGCCATCCCTTCCCCAAATCTTCAGTGTTAAAGTGTTGGTTGTGGAGAGAAGGATGGAATGATCCTAAGAACTCATCCTAATTTTGAATGGAGAGACCAATTTCAAACAAAAGAAATTGAGATCCAGGAAGTAATCCTGACAATATGTAGAAGGAGAAGGTCAAAGCTGGACTGGAGAGTTCATACACTTGCTGTGGACCATACAACAGGGTAGGATTGGAGCAGGTGGGAAAGAAACAAGGAGGACCTTCCAGCCAGGGAGCATGGCAGGAAAAAAGGCCAAGAGGTGGAAAGAAACACATTGAGTTCTATGACTGTGCTTTGATCAGAACGCCCACCCTTGCCTGAATCCCAGAGGCTAGCAGGTGTCATGGCAGCCCGGGAGGCACCTTTTTCTTGGACTTCAGACTCTGAGCAACTTGAAACCACACCTTTGTATTTCAGAACCAGCAGCACAAGTGGAGAAAGCCACAGCCTGCCAGACCCGAATAAGTCTAAAAAGCAAGCCAGGAAGGCAGTGGAAGGAGCTGGGTGAGAAGGATGGTTGGGACCATCAATCAGTCTTCTCAGGGAGTGGAAGTAACACAATGCAGGCCAGACTCCCTGAAGCCATAGACAGTACTGGAGGACAAGGAGTCCCCCAGGACAAGGGGCTCATAGCCCAGAGGCTGAGCAGCAATGCGGACAGTGGCCATAAGTTCCTCCATGTGCGGGGCACTGTGAGAAGCATTCTGTGTTCACTGCCTTGCTTGTTCCTCAGACCTGACCCTCCTATGAGGCAGGGACTTTATGTCCTTTTTTTTTTAACAGACAGAGTTTCACTCTGTTGCCCAGGCTGGAGTGCAATGACACAATTATAGCTCACTGTAGCCTCCAACTCTCAGGCTCAAGAGATCCTCCCATCTCAGCCTCTCAAGTTGCTGGGACTATGGGAATGAGCCATTGTGCCCAGCTAATTTTTATTGTATTTCCTTATAGAGGTGGGGTCTCAAACTCCAGGCCTCAAGCAATCCTCCCTCTTCAGCCTCCCAAAGTGCAGGGATTTCAGGCATGAGCCACCATGCCCAGCCCATCAGGCCTGTTATCCTGTTTTATAGAAGCTGAAACCTGCCCAAATAGAATGTCTTCCCTGAGGCCACACAGCTAAGAAGTGATGGAGCTGGTGTTTGAGCCTGAGTCTCCCAGCTCCAAATTCCATCTCATGGGTCCTTAACATTTGCTGGGCCTAAGTAACCAGCTTCCGCACTGTGGGCTCATTTAATAAAGCGTGGACTGCCATCCTGATGCTGTTGGGAAGATCTGGCCTTCTTACATATAGGCGGATGCTTAGGGAGGCTCCAGGTGAGGGCAGAGGACCCTGGTGGGTACAATGGGTTCCCACTGCAGAACAACTTGGAGCCCAGGGAGGCCAGAGTACGACCTGTGAGGCTACTGGGGGTGTCCCTTGGGCTTCATCCCCTCAAGTTCTTCTCATCTGTGTCTACAGCCGTGCCAGTCGTGATATCATCCACTGCAAAGATGGGGTGTGTAACAGTTTGAGGACCAAGTTCTACAGCATTGCCCGTGAGGCCGGCTTCTGCCTGCAGGACAAGTTGGAAATACTCAGGAAGTAAGGGTCACATATATCCATTCAGTCAGAGGACATTTGTCTGATGCCTCCTAACTATGTATCTGCCAGGTGCTGGGACCAAAGCAGGGAGCTCCCTGCCTTCGGGGGCTTACAGTATTCTGGAAAATATGGGCAGAAACAAAGTAACTACATCTGTAAATGTATATGTACAAATTATAATCATTGTTGTACAGGAAGAGAACAGGGTGCTTGTGAGGGAGAGAGGGAGGGTGGGGGGGAGAGATGGCAAGAGGGAGAGAAAGAAAGCATAGGGACCTAGTAATTTAAGTTAGGTAATCTAGAAAGACTTCTCTGAAGAGGCAAGTTTTACACACATGAGAGGGAGCTGGCAGTGTGACAAGCAGATAGAATGACATTCTAGGCAGCAGAAAAAGTGCACACACTTCTAGGCAGCAGAAAAAGTGCCCAAGTAAGAAGAGACACAGAGGATTTGAAGAAGAGTGGCAAGTGGGACATGAGGCCTGCATCATACACAGCCGTAAATGCCACATAATTAGGACCTGGTGCTTGGTTTTAAGAGGTTTTTCCTTCTTACCTTGCCACCCAATAACCGCTCCCCTTTCTAACCTGATCCTTGGAGCCCAGCAACCATCCCTCCAGTGAACTCATCACTCGACGAAGTTTGCATGAGCGCCCTTTGCCCCCTCGTCCTTGTAGCATTGACGGAGTAGCTGCTCTGGAGAAGACCAACCCCTGCCTCTTCCTTCTGGGAGCATCCAGTCTAGTGGGGAAGCAGACAAGCAAGCAAAAAATTACCACACAGAAAGCAAGCAATTACCACACAGGGTGATGAAGGTCCACATGGGAGGAAGCAGGGGGCTAAGGTTACACAAAGAGACGTCCCACCTGGCCCGGAACAGCCCTCAGGAAGGTCTTCCTGGAAGAAACAATATGTCAGCTTAATACACACAGATGTACATATACACAATGGAATATTATGCAGCCATAAAGAAAGACAAACATATGGACTTTGCAGCAACTTGGATGGATGTGGAGTCGATCATACTCAGTGATCTGTCACAGAAACAAAGAACAGAGGACCATATGTTCTCAATCATAAGCAGACTTTGAACAATTACAACACTATAAGAAAGCATTTGGCAATAGTGGAAAACTGTCAGGGGAGGGGAGGTGGGATTGGCAGTTGAGGGAAACTGCTAGGGGAGGGGGGCATACCTCATCCACAAGGGTACCTGCATAAGCAACGTTTGTATACCTAACCCTGAATTGTAGCCCACATCTTTATAGTAAACAATTTTTTAAAGTACTATTAATTTAATTAAAAATTAATTAATTTAAAAAACACAGATGATATTTCCAAGGCACTTACCATGTTCCCTTCCTGGGTTTAAGAGCTTTGGATTTATCTATCATTTACTCCTCACAACAAACTTTGGAGGGTACGTTACTCAGAAGAACTTATTCTGAGTGAAATGGAAAGTCATTGAAAGTTGTACACAGTGGGGTGACATGCTGATGTGTATAATATAAAATCTCCTTAGGGAGATAGGACACACACACAAAATGATGAGGGGAGCAGGGAAGAGAGGAACCAATGTGAGTTAAACACCTGCTTTGTGTCTAGCATGAAGTTTTGCACTTTACACACATTATATCATTTAATCCTCACCCCAGAGAGTGAGGAGCTATTATTATCCCCCATTTCACAGGTGGGGAAATTGCGTAAATCCAAACAGAAGAAGGAAGAGAATGAAAATGAATAAAAAGTGACTAGATTTAGCAAGGGAATAGTACTTAGGGACCTTGGAGACAGCCATGTCCTCCTGTGGCAAAAGCCAGATCCTAAATTAGAGAGTAACTGTGAGGGTTGTGAAAAGCCCCACAGAGGAAGAGCTGCTTAAGTCAGATCTCAAAGGGCAGCTAGAATGTTTAGAGGGGGAAAGGACCTGATTCTTCCTTCTCTTTTTCATACAACCTTGCAGGCACCAAGAAGAAAGAGGTATCCAGAAGTTCAATTCTTTTTCCCTTGTCTCAAACTTTCAAAAGGATATAGCAAAAATGAGACATCAAGTATTTGTAACAAAAGGAGATGCGGAAGAAATTGCAGGCCACTGGTAAAGACCCTGTGAACCAGATAAGGTGTCCTTCAGGACACAAAGAGGCATCACCTCAAAACTCTCACTGGCCACCCAGAGTGTCCCTCCTAAACATGCTAAATCCAGAGTGCAGTCAGGCCAAAAGCCCCCAGTTTCTGAACCACAGACAATCCAACCCATTGTGTTCCCCATATTTACTGTCTGATTCAGCCTTGCAAATTTGGAGGACTACTTTGCCAGCCCCCCTGAGAGACACAGATGAGGCACACCAACCTGAAATGTTCTACAGATTCTGAGGTCTGTGATCACTACATTCTCCCAAATAATTTAATCTCTTAAGAATACAAAACCAGGCAGGTATGTCCTAGGAATACCATGCCCCCACGCAGGATGATAATAAGTAGAAACACTTTTTGTGCAATATGAATTAAGTGACTACTGAATGTCACTACCTGAGTAATTTTCATAAGCTACCTATTTTATCCCCCCCCAAAAAAAAAATCCTGAAGGGATATCCTTTAACCCTCCATTTCACAAACAAGGAAACTGAAACTTGGAGAGGGAAATTCCCTTGTTCAAGGACACACCACCAGCAAGTAGTGAATTTAGGATAAGCACCTCTGTCCAACCCCTGTCTGAATGCTCACTTGCAATATGGAATTGGAGTCTGAGGGACTGTGATGTCCTGAACCCCATCCCAGAAGGATGAACACACCAATATCTAAGAGTAAGATGGGAAAATCTAAAAATGTACCCAGAGTCCCTTCCATGGTTTTCAAAATCTGGAACAGGAGCTTACAAGCAGTCCCCGGGTTCTCGGCAGGGTTGTGAGAACTTCCGCGCCACCTCACATCCCAGAGTGTCAGGTTCTCACAGCAACACCTGGCCCTGAAGATACATGGGCTCTCGAGAGGGGCCCTCAAGAAAAGGGAAGAGGGTCCTCTCCCCTCTTTGGGGGAAAGTAGGGGAGGAGTAAAAGGAGTTATAAACCAATTCACATAGCAGTATTACAGTAGACGATCGATGCTGGTCCCCCTCCCACAGTGGGATTTAGCCCACATTACTAAGGGTGGAGTTTCTGGCATTGTTAGGGGGAAATAACTGCCCTCTGCAGTAACATTAAAATCAAGTCAAACAAAACACAGCCTAGTAAGAGCGAAGCCAGGTTGTAGCTCTCCACTCATCCAGTGATTCTTTCAGTCTTTCAAATAACAGCTATTGAGCACCTGCTCTGAGTTAGGTGGCGTTCTGGTGTCCTGAATACTAAATAACTCAGGCAAGGTTTCTTTTCTCAAAGAGGTATCGTTCTAAACAAGGAGACATGAATAAATATATAAACATACATCATAAGGTGTATGAGTAGCCCAGAATGTATGATGGACAATCAATTTCTTCTTCAAAATTTTCCAGTGAGCACATATATAGTGGGAGAGGTTGGAGGGCGTTTTTGTTTGTTTGTTTGTTTGTTTGTTTTACAAGAGATTCCATCTCCTGCCTTAAGCCCTAATTGTATCTAAGCCATCTCCTTAGGTTAGACTTAGGTAGGTTAGAATTTACCCATTCTCATTATCTTAAGGATGGATTCCCAAACTACCCTTGCACTCTGTCATAACACTCAAACAAAGCTTTGACCTGAACTTACTTGTTAATCAAGGAGATGGAAAATGCACACACACACACACACACACACACACACACACACACACCATCTTGTAAGAGCTTTCTGCATCCTAGAAAGCATTCCACAGATGTGTCCATGTCCTCCCTGATCTGATTAATGTCCACAAGAGAAGCTTCAGAATCCCAATGATCCTTCCTTTCTTCTAGCTTTTCACATTGTCTGCTTGATAAAAAAAATTATAAATAATCCCTTGAAAGCATGCCCTTATTTTGCGTTTTAATGACATGCAAATCATGCTCCATCATTTCCTATCCCTAAAAGTAAAGACTTGCCTGATCCATGGTCCATAGAGGAAAGACCCCTAGATAAAGAACCCTGGGGTCCTGGAGACATCAGATGGGTGGTAGAAAGAGAAAGTGAAGATAGACTGTCCAGCCTGAGGCACTCAGGCCCACCTCCCAGCAGCTTCCTAACTGGCCCTCTCCTCTTGGAATTGAAGGTACTTTGATCTCTTGTCCAAACTGCCCGAGGATCTGAAGGACTTCCGCCCTGCCAAAAAGATCCTGGCAAAACTGCAGAAGTTTGGGGAAAACCTGGACCTGAGGATCCGACCCCACATCTTCCTGAAGGTGCTGCAGGATCTGAGGATCTGGGAGCTGTGCTCGCCTGACATCGCTGCGGCTATCGAGGTGACCAGCGCGCTCCCCAACTCCCCCATCCCCCCACCCCAGGCCCTTATCAATGCCTCAGGTGCCCTCATTCCACCACTTCTCAACACTACTTAAGTGCTGGGGACACAGTGATTAAAAAGACACAAAACTGCCTTCACAGAGCTCGTAGTCTAACAGGATTGTCCCACTACTTGCTTGTTCAACTCCAACTTCAAGGGACATTAATCTTCAGTGTAAATGGTGTCCCCTGGAACCTCAGAGACTTTAGGGAGACATAAGCAAATGGGCTTATGAAGCCCATAAGAAGGAATACTTTAAATCTTGCTACTAAAAGGGTGGCCCCTGGACTAGCAGCAGAATTTACATTTTAATGGGATTCCAGAGTGCTGGTAAATCCGAGGGGATCTCTTAACCAGGGCAGCTGGAGAAGGTGACTTCAAGCTGAGCCCTGAACAATGGGAAGATGGCACCGTGAAGAGAAAGGGAGGGAACGGTTCAGGAAGGGGACAGCAGTGCAAAGGCCCCAAAGCAGAACACGACTTGACTTGTTGGAGGAACTCAATGGCAGTCAATGAATGTAGAAGGACGCAGGCAAGGACATGAATGGTTCTCGGAGGCCAGTCTGTGCAGACCTCTGAAGGTCAAGGTGAAGACACAGGTTTTTACGTCAAGTGAGGAAGCCCTGAACAATTTTCAATAGTAGTTCATCCTCACCACCAGACTAAGTTCCTGGTACTCTATTCCCATATCAAAGGGCATCAGTGGTGAAGACTCTGAGTAAGGTGTCAACCGATGCAAATAAGGTCACTTCCTTAATTTTATTTGATGGCCCATGTGCATTTTAATAGACTTCAGTCCCTCCCAGTTAAGAAGTGACTCAAACGGTCCAACTCTCAGGCCTTCACAGGCTATGGGGGCTCTGATGTTTCCATGGTGCTCAGGCATTTATAATTCCTGAATGGAGACATCCTGGGGCCACCAGTCTTAATCACAAATCTTCCAGGATCTTCCGGGAAGGAAGGGAGAGAGGGTGGAGTCTAACTTCTAAATCAAATTCTGAGATTGCCACTCTATCTGCCCTACAGTTTGTGCGAGAACACATCATCCATATGCCTCAAGCAGATTACATCAGCTGGTTGCAGAAGCGAATCAGCATGCCTATCCAGCCCTACAGTGCCCTGACATAGGCTGACCCGGGTCGACCAGCTGTTCCAGTGGAGTAGGGCTAGCCTATACCATGTTCCTGCATCCTACCTGTCTACCTGCTCCCTGCCAACCCACACGAATGTTCTTTATGTCACAGTTGGGTCATCTGGAGACTGCCTTCTGGCAACATTTTAGAGGGAAACATTTTCAGGTGGCCCTCCCCTCAAGTCTACAACCCAGGCCCAACCTTCTAGTCTCAATTCTTCACTGGTCCAGTCTGACTCTACCTACATCTTCTCCAGATTCCTTCATCTTATTTATCATCCTCAAATTCTGGATAATAAAATTGAGCTGAAAGTTTTATGTCTAGTTAGAAGAGAATTGGAGCCGTGGAATTTGGGTGTGGTATTCATATCCTAGTAACGACAGTTATCATTTATTAAGCTTTCGTTAAACAACAGACCCACTACTGAGTGCTTTATACATAATAACATTTAAATATCATGAAAACATAGCTATGTAGATAATGATGTTAATCCTGTTTGACATCATTGGAGCTAAAATGTATCTCTCAACATTATATATACTGCCTTGGATGGTTGACTGGATGGACAAATAGAAGGATGGATGGGTGAATGGATGGATGGATGGATGGATGGGGCATTCCTCAACAAGGCAATGTAGTGCAAGAAAACCTTCATATATTTTCTGGTGGTCTTGGTTGCAGGAGGAAATTTTTCTTCCTGTCACCGCAAAATGTGTGCTTTTTAGCCTCTTTTCTTATCTTGGCCTTATGCTCACCTACATTCTCACTAAGCCATGGGAACTGCAGGCATTTTAACTCCCTTCATGTTGGCCACGCTGAATTAACAGTTGAACAGTTGGACTTGATTGGGTGATATGCCTGGATTATCCAAGCATTCATGTAGGCTGGACTGCGAATCCCACTGTGACAATCCAAAAGTGGGTGGGGGAGAGTTGAGTTAGATTTGTAATTCAGTGTAAGCAATATCTCACTCATCCATTCACCTAGTCAGTAATTGATTTATTCAATGAATATGTATTGCAAGCCCAATACGCACCAACCAAGTTCTAGGTGCTAAGGATACAACGATGAACAAGGCAGACAAGGTCTCTGCTCTCACACATTTTACATAGAGACAGACAAGTCAACAAAATGTGACAAGGAGGGCAGAGGGATTATGCAGCATCACATGTCTCTCCGCATAGATACCCTGTGTTTAACACTATACTTGAGAAGCTATTTGAGTGTAAAGGTGAGATATAGTCTACAAAAAGACAGCAAAGGCTGGGCACGGTGGCTCGAGCCTATAATCCTAGCACTTTGGGAGGCCAAGGCAAGAGGATTGTCTGAGCCCATGGGTTTGAGACCAGCCTGGGCAACATGGTGAGACCTCATCTCTACAATAAATCAAAAAATTATCTGGGTGTGGTAGTGCACACCTATAGTTCCGGCTACTTGGAAGGCTGAGGCGGAAGGATCGCTGGAGCAGGTAGAGGTAGAGGCTGCAGATAGAGGCTGCGCTGGCCAGGAGCATGCCACTGCACTCCAGCCTGGGTGACAGAGTGAGACTCCAACTCAAAAAAAAAAATTAAGCCGGGCTCGGTGGCTCAGCCTGTAATCCCCCACCTTTGGGAGGCTGAGATGAGTGGATTGCCTGAGCCCGCGGGTTCGAGACCCGCCTGGGCAGTGAGACCTCATCTCTACTATAAATCAAAAAATCAGCCAGGCGTGGTAGCGCATGCCTGTAATTCCGGCTACTCGGAAGGCTGAGGCGGAAGGATCGCCGGAGCCCAGCAGGCCAAGGCTGCGGTGGCCGGAAGCAGCCACTGCACTCCAGTCCGGGCAACCGAGTGAGACTCCAACTCAAAAAAAAAAAAAAAAAAAAAATTAAAAGACTGTGAAATTAAGAGACTCTAAACAACTCTGTATTAAATAGGAATTTAAGCAAGAGGATTGAGGAGGGCCCAAAAAAAGAAGAAGAAAAACTACAAAAGGGGTTGAGGTAGAAAGCTGAGTAACACGAGGGTGAGAAGAAACCTTGGGAGAAAACCAAGTAGGCAAAGCTGGCTGGTGTATCTCTAAGAACTACGATGCAAAGTGGCTCTCCACTCCATCACCTGGAACCTTCAGTAGCTTCTGCTACATGCCCAAGTGTCCTCTGTGAGCAGGGTTTTGAGAAAATGAAAAGGGGCTGTGTTCTACATCTGGGTCTGCTGGGGGGCAAGAAAGGACTTGAGGGACACAGACCCTGAGTACGGTAAGGCGTTTAGTAGGAGCAGGAAGCCAAAGCTAGAGAGACTGCTACTATGAGAACTCTCTAGGTTGATAGAAATCTGGAATGGGCCGGGCTCGGTGGCTCAGCCTGTAACCCTAGCACTTTGGGAGGCCGAGGTGAGTGGATTGCCTGAGCCCGCGGGTTCGAGACCCACCGGGGCAACTTGGCGAGAC